GGACATGATCATAATCTTTCTTTAACTTAGCATGATCAACATTGTGTGACTCCTCAAGAGCCAAACGAAGACCACGCTCTTCCTCAAGAGCATTGGAAAGATCCGAAATCTCATCGGCATAGTCACGACTATGCCCTTCCATCTTAGAGATGGTGTCTTCGTGAGCCTCGATCATGTCATTGGCTTCACCAAGTTGTTCCAAGAGAGCAACAAAGTGCTTCTTGGATTTTCCCTTGAGTTTGCCCATAAAGGCCACAAACTCGTTAGCCTCCACATTAGCTCCCTCAAGTTCATTAATGCTATCCGTCGGGGAAGGATGATTAATGATGGTAGTTTTGATGTTGGAGGTTACCTTGTTGGTGGCTTTAGCCATGAGGCACTTGGCGGTGATGCTCTCATTGGGTGAGTCGAAGAGAGACACCCGTGACGTTGTTGCAATGGCAACGGAGGCCATGGCAACCGACTCATCATCTTCATCATCGTCATCATCCTCATTGTACTCTTCTTGCACAACCAAAGCCTTGGGAGGAGTCTTCTTGGTGAAGTTGTTCTTGTTGGGGAACGACTTGGCCTTGTCCTTTCGGATGAGCTTGCCACCATTGTCTTCCCTCTTCTCATACGGGCATTCCGCAACGAAATGACTCACGTTGCCGCAATTGTAGCAAGTCCTTACACGTTGCTTGCCCCTTGTGCCACTCGAGTTGTTTTTGCTAAAGTTTGAGTTTTTCTTACTCCAAAATTCCTTGAAGCAAGTGCCATGTGTTCATGATATGCATACTTCGTATCTTCGGGGTTGCTCTCCTCTTCTTCCTCTTCTTCTTCTTTCACGGTGAGCTTGGCCTTCAATGCAAGGTTAGGCTTCTTTGCCCGTTGAGAACGGAGCACCGCATTGTCGGCGGTCTTGTCCAAAATGTTCATGGCCACAAACTCATCCAACACTTTGCTTGAGGTCAAAGTGTGGAAGTCCGGTCTTTGACGAATGACGGAGGGCATGGCCTTGTGATAGGGCATCATTGCCTTGAGGAATTTACGCTTGATCCAATTGTCATCCGTGTCCTTGCTCCTGTGATCTCGTAGTGAGACCGCGAGTTTGGTTACTCTCCGATAAAGCTCACGAGGTTCTTCATCTTCTTTCATTGCAAACTCATCGGCCTCATCTTGTACCACTTCATAATTGGAGCGTTGAATGCCTGCGCTTCCCCGGTAGAGAGAGACAACACAATGCCATGCATCTTTGGCCAAGGCGAAGGGATGAAGATGAGGTAGGTCTTCGGGTGGAATTGCATCTTGAATGATGAAGAGAGCATTTTCATTGAATTGATTGTCCGTGGCTTCCCGAGGAGTGAAGTTGCTTGGATCATGTGGATAGAAACCTTCTTCAATGATTCTCCAAAGGTTAGTGTTCACATGATTTAAATGATGTTTAAAGCGGTAAACCCAAGAATCAAAATCCTCATTTTCACAATCTTAGGGGGAGGACCGGCATGATTCAAATGAGTAGAAGGAATCGGTCCACCATAAACAAGTGGTGGTTCCACACGGGCAAAGATGTCGGTGCCATTCTTACCACTAGAAGAAGGAGCCTTTTCACTACTAGTTTCCCCCTTGTCGGGGATAGCATCCGTCACCTTGTTGGCGGGGTTACCCACTTTCAACGGTGCGGTGGATAGTTTAAGCCCCTCAAGAAATTTAGTAAACATGCTTTCAACTTCGGTCGTCATGGAGGTTTTCAATGTCTCCAAGGCCACATTGAACTCCTCACGAGAGACCGAGGTTCCCCCATCTCCCGTAGACGAGATCGGATTCACACCGGAGTGTTCCTCCACACCGTCTACGGTATCAACCATAATCTTTGGACGGTAAAGTCCTTAATAAAGAGACGAGACTCTGATACCAATTGAAAGGATCGATATGGTTGACTAGAGGGGGGGGTGAATAGACAACTATCAATTTTTACTTTTCTTTACCAAATTAAACTTTGCATCAAAGTAGGTTGTCTAGATGTGCAACTAGGTGAGCAACCTATATGATGCAATGACAACAAGCATACAAGCAAGCAAGGGAAGAAACACTAAAGAGCTTGCACAAGTAAAGGTAAGAGATAACCAAGAGTGGATCCGGTGAAGACGAGGATGTGTTACCGAAGTTCCTTCCTTTTGAGGGGAAGTACGTCTCCGTTGGAGCGGTGTGGAGGCACAATGCTCCCCAAGAAGCCACTAGGGCCACCGTATTCTCCTCACGCCCTCACACAATGCGAGATGCCGTGATTCCACTATTGGTGCCCTTGAAGGCGGCGATCGAATCTTTACAAACAAGGTTGGGGCAATCTCCACAACTTAATCGGAGGCTCCCAACAAGACCACGAAGCTTCACCACAATAGACTATGTCTCCGTGGTGACCTCAACCGTCTAGGGTGCTCAAACACCCAAGAGTAACAAGATCCGCTAGGGATGAGTGGGGAAATCGAAAATCCCTTGGTGGCAGTGTAGACCGGGGCCTTCTCAACCACTCCCGAGCAAATCAACAAGTTTGATTGGCTAGAGAGATAGATCGGGCGAAAATGGAGCTTGAAGCATTTAATGGAGCTTGAGGAATAAATGGAGCTTGGGGAAGGAAGAGGTAAGTAAGAGAGAAGAAGGGGACTCCCTTTTATAGTGGGGGCAACAATCCCGTTGCCCCCCACCAATCAGCCCCGCACAGGGCGGTACTACCGCTGAGAGGGGGCGGTACTACCGCCAGGACAGTGGTACTGCTGCGCTGAGGAGATTACTAGGGAAAGGACCCAAATGCGGTACTACCGCGGTGGTAGGGGCGGTACTACCGCTCCTGGAACGGTACTACCGCCTCTACAACCGTAACTAGTGCCGCAAAACCCGACACGAGAAAAAGACCTTTCGAATCGAGGCGGTAGGAGCCAAACTGCCTAGCAGTACTACGACAGTGGGGTCACGGGCGGTACTACCGCTGTGGAGCGGTACTGCCGCTTGTGACCCTTCGGCCGTACTACCGCAGGCAGTGCGGTACTGCCGCTGGGGCGCGCACGCGAGAGAGAGAGAATCTCTGAAAGATGCTGAGGACAAGGCGGAGGTGCCAGGCCCCCAGCGGTACTACTGCTGTGGAGCCACGGGCGGTACTACCGCTGTGGAGAGGTACTGCCGCTTGGCTCCTCGGCGGTACTACCGCTGGGTTGCGCGGTACTACCGCTTGGACCCAGACAGGACAAGGAAGAGAGGAGAGATCTCTTTAATGAAAAGGAGATGCTCGGAGGGTGAGAAGCTGATGTGTATGTGATGATTCCACCCATGCAATACCCCAGCGGACCCCCTCTTGATAGTACGGTGCCCTCTACGCAACTAGTCCACCGAGAAAGAAACGAAAGAGCTACACCATCTTGAAATACACTCCGAGGGGAAGAAAGCGTCTCGTGCCAGGGGAGAATCTTTGAATTATTCAAAGCACAAGATTAGTCCGCAAACATGTTGTCATCAATCATCAAAACTACATTGAGAGAGATATGCCGTAACAACGGGGGAGCAAATCCCCCCGGAGACTGGCGATGGGGCCATGTCCAATTCGGCCCCCAGCCGAACACTATTCCGGATGCCCATATGGTTCCGGAATTAGGCAAGCAGCCTCGTTTGCGAGAAGGAGGTGCACCTATTCCGCCGGTGACCTCCGTCCATCCAGAGGCGTCGGATACCTTACTGGAAGCACTGCAAAGTGCTTCCATTGTTGAAGAACACCGTACCCTCATGGCCGCTAAGAGAGGGTTCGGTCCGCTAAGAGCGGACTGGCCGAAGCCTGCACCAGCCTTTTGACAGGCTTTGAAGTATGCGACGTAATTTATGCAAAAAGAGAATATCATAGTATAGACAATAGCCCCTGAGAAACTGTCCGGTGCTCGAAAAGAGAAGTCAGACAGATGGTCAAATAATTTTCGCACGAGACTAACCAATATATGTCTATATGAATAAGCAGACGTCGATGCTGGCTACGACCTCTCATTCTGCCGAAGTCTCTAAACTGAAGCAGTGTTTGGAGCAGGCCAAGGAAGAGCTCGGCCGTATGAAGAAACAACTGGAGGACAGCAAGGTATGCAATGATCTATTCTGATGTAGAAAGATATGAATTGAGTATGTTTGATCATACTATCATGATATTTCGTAGGAGCTGCGACCGAGGTGGAGACCCTCAAGAAGTCGTTGGTTGAGGCCCAAGAAAGAGTGTCGAAGGAACAAGCTGCCCATGAAAAGTACGAGGCAAGGGTCGGGGAGGTCCGGCAGGAGCTCCAGGACGCCGCAAAGAAATGCGAGTCCTTGGAGCGCAAGATTTCGGACCAAGAGTCCGAACTTGCTAAGGCCCACCAAAGCGCGCAAGAGGCCCGGGTCGAAGCCCAGGGTGCCCTCCAGGAGATCCAGGAAGCCAGGAAAATCACGGCGGGTAAGGCCTTTATTATGCAGAGCAAGTTTGTGAAGAAAAGGTACCTCTTACTGACCCGAATTTGAAGTTCTCCAGGAGTGTTTGCGGATCTACCGCGCAGTGTTGCTGATGCAGTGGAGTTCTTCCAAGCAGAAGAAGGGAGCTTAATGAAGAAGCTGTTCTGGTTGCAATACCTTACGCCAGAACATCCGGTGCCCTTTAGCGACCTGAACTTTTTTTTTTTTGCCTTAAACATGAAGCTATTCTGTATTCTTCTAGACAAGCGTACTCTGGTTTTTCTCCCCGTTTATTGGCTATCTGGCTGATAAATTTACAACTGGAAGTATTTTTTTGCGGGGAATTTAGGACTTTATTCAACCATCAATAGCTCCTACACGACCATTTGCAACTTGAGTAGCAAAAATGTTGGAAGCCTCAATGATAGAAAATGTGTACTCCGCACGTTTATACACCTGAAAATACACACCATTTTCCACCACTTACTTGGATTCTTCGACAATGACCTCTTTGTCGGCTCCCCAAAAACCAATACTAAATGCTAAGGAAATGGTCCAACAAATCAAGCGGTGGTGGGCTGCGCAACGGCGAGGTCAGAGGGCGACAGCGTGCCGTTGTGGTCGGCGTCGAGCATGTCGAACTCCTCCATGAACTCTGAGATCTCCTCCTGGCTGATCTTCCCGAGCTCCTTGAGCTTGTACAGCACGAACTCCGCCGCCCCGACGCGCCGGTCACCGTCCAGGTCCGCCGCCTCCAGGTCGGTGTTCGTCGTCCGCCGCGTCAGCACCCAGCGCGCGAGCGCTCTCTGCCGCCGCTCCGCGTACAGCTCCGCCACGTACAGGAAGAAGAGCGCCACCACCACCGTGCTCACCGTCACCCACACCGCCGCGAACGCGCGCCCGGCCGACGACGTGAAGCTCCTGTCGCCGTACCCCAGCGTGGTCACCGTCGCGCACACGCAGTACAAGGCGTCCACGGGTCGCATCCCTTCGCCCTTCCACAGCACCAGCGTCCCCGACGCCACCGACGCCGCCAGCAGCGCCCCGGCCGCGTACAGCTTGTACCACGTCTTGTTCATCTCCATGGCGCGCAGCTCCCGCGCCGGGTGCTTGCCGTTGGCGTGGACCGCGCGGAAGACGAGCGACTCCTGCTTCTCGACCAGGTAGTCGGCGGACTTGCTCAGGGAGGTTCCAACCACGGCGACGCCGCCGAAGGCAAAGGCGCTCGCCAGCAGCTTGCCGGTGTCGCTGGACGGGACGAGGTCGCCGTAGCCGACGGTGGTCATGGTGACCACGCAGAAGTAGACCGCGTCAATAACGCGGCTGCCGCTGCGGTGCCCGGACATGTGGTCCATGGCGAGGTAGAAGGCGGTGGTGCCGGCGACGACGTAGGCGAAGAGGAGCAGGCCCACCAGGCGGAAGCTCGAGCTCGGGCGGCCGCTCTCGAGCACTTCCTTGGCCGGCGAGGCCGCGCTTTCGGTCCGACTGGCGTTGCCGGGGGGAGTAAGAGGGCGAGGCTCTTCCAACGCAGCAGGGTCGGCGGAAGGAGCCGTCCGGCAGCGCCGAAACCTCTTGACCCCGTCCGGCGGCTTCTGTCGGATGGCACCAGCCGCGTTGCCGTCGCCGCCGGATAGCAGCGGTTGTTGAACACCACCGGCCACCATTCTAGCCGATGGGCGATGGAGTTGCAGCAGCTAGCGATGCAGATATGTGCAGATCAGAGGAGAAATGCGAGCCTCTTCTTGTTCTCGATGACTCCACGTGTGGAGTGTATCGCCGTACAGGTGTAGTTTACAGGTGCGGGTTATGCCGCGTGGCTGCCTGGTTGCCCTTGAGTTTACTGCCTCTCTCCACCTGTAAAAACAAGAGAACATTTGTTCACTTTGACATTTTCTTTGAAAAAACTTTCAAGATATTCACCAAATATCATGACACATCATGTCACTACAAAGAACATCGTAGGTTATTCGAAATTACTTAAAAAGGTCGTCATATTAGCCTGCTGAATAAACGTACTAAATGTGGTATTCACACTCTGCTGAGATTTGGGCTACCATTAGTGGCTAAGGCGTAGCCCAAACCGGTGAAAATCATTTCAATCCCTTTGGAAAAACAAAAGAAAAGACAACAATGTTTCATTGCAAGGAGTGTGAGTGCTTGACTCGAAGTGCCTGATACGCTCTGCGTTCACAGTGGTGTTGCCCAGATCTGGATCTGACGTCATGTGCTCGCCACGATTGTCCTAGGTGTCTCATGGTGACATGGTTGAGATGCCGAATGAAAGCCCCGCGCCTTGGCGTCGATGGAGGTGACCACCGCGGGTGCCGCTCTTCTTTTAAGGACGTCGTTGTGGTTCTCCTCACCGTGTTAGACTGTCAGGGTTTCACGTGAAAACCCTTGTCCGTCTAGGACTCAGCAGCGGCCACGCTCAACGCTGTTTTTCCTTTTAAGGACGTTGTCGTGGAACTTAGGTGTCCTAGGGCCTGTTTGGTTTAGGCCAGCGCCTGGCATGCCAATCTGACTGTATAACGAAGCCCACTAAACAAGCCCATGTTAAGGTCAATTAGGCCATCATGGGTTCTCAAAGTCTGTAAGTTACCTTTCATGGAGAGTCTAGGTATGCAAACCATGGCGCCGCCAGGATCTATAGCTACCGTCTGCACATCGCGCTAGAATCGATCTAATTGATTCTTGCTTGCTGCCGCCGCCGCCGTGCTTGCCTAAGGCACTATACCACTATCTATTATGTCTTCGTGCTAACTGCTAAGCAGGCTGCTGATCATGCCGACGTGCTGTGACATAGAGTCCGCCGATCCCCACATCTATACTTCTCAAGGTACGCCCGTATATACTGGCAATGGTGTTTTGTACGGATGATATCCTACTAGTATATAATTCCTATGGACTGCAATATACTAGTATGTACAATGGAATCATCAGATGCCTTTCTTTTTCATTTTGTTTGATGTGGTTTTGTGATTACAACCTGCAGTACTTCTCCTCTTCTACAGATGTCAATGTACGAGCTAGTCTAATCTTGCATAAAATAAGGTGCAATGCATACTAAGCTATGCCCTTGTTTAAGAGCTTTTTTACGGTGCATCATACTACCCATTATGATGGGTAGTATTTTGGTAGATCCAATGGTCAGTATAGATGGGTCAAATTTTCCCTCTGGGACATATTGGTAATTTCTGTTTAGAGATAGATTTCTTCTTTGTTAGTTCTATAATCACAATTAATGATCTAATTAATTAAATTAACCCATTCGATCCGGCACGGAGGCACGGGCGAGTGCGTCTGCGACCTCGTCGCCACTGTTCCTTCGGGTTGCCGGAGTAGCCCCGCAGGTGAGGCACAAGGTGCGGATCCAGCGCAGGTAGGCTATGAGATGAGCCTCCTGTCAAAGCAGCTTGTCGCCCCAAGGAGGAGCAGAAATGTGCTGGAAAGACGAACGGAGAAGGCCTACTGTATTGCGTGCCCATCTTCGATCCGCTCATGGAGCTCTGCTCGCCACCATCGGCCTTGTAATCACAAACTGAGTTGGGGCAATAAAGAAAACCACCGGAGATGATGCGTGCCCGTGGCCATCAACAAGCTCTACGTAGGTGTGTTAGAAGAGAAATCAGCGATCTGATTGTTGCGTACTTGCATACGTGTGACGTGCATGCTTGTGTATCCGGCTGGCCGGCGGTGAGTCTACTAGCGTAGCTTTTCTAGGTCGCTGTGTACGTCCGGTGCAGGCCAGCTTGGAGCATGAACCAAGATCGTCAACTTCGTTTCATCGTCTTCATCGTGCGTCGCCGACCGAAAAGTATTAGATGGTGTGGACTGCGCCATGGCAGGGAAGAAACCTGCTTGCGTGATTGATAAACATTAGAGTACCCAAAATACCCCTAACTAGTCAATATACTACCGAAAATCTGTTGTAGTATTGTCTTATCTAGGCCCTTCAAGCCACATAAATTAACAGCCCAAATTGATTTGATGCACCGTAAAAGGTCTCTTGTTTAACTTTGTTTAAGTTGTTGGTAAACCATAGGGCTAATTTCCATCTAACAGAATGTATCATTTTTATATTTGCAAACATATATTATTTTGCTTTGATGTCAATGTTAGATTAAGACTTTATGTAGGGGGGCAATACGGGGTGAATGTGCATATAACTAGTTAGGGTCTTGTGGCGCAACCGGCTCCACATCTTTCGACTTACAGATGCATAGCATGAATACTGACATTGCACGGACATAGGGACACCTTGTGATTTACACCAACGTGTCTACTTTTTTTTTTGTCTCATTATTTTCTTCGTCCCCCTCATACTAAAATCCTGGCTCCGCCCCCGAAGAAGAGCATGCACAACTATAGCTTAAACTGACATTACACTGATTAGGATCGAAGATTACACAATAAAGACATGTACATCCATGGTGCAGATTGATTTAAGCAGCCTTTCCCGTACTTATTAGCTGTGATGCTCACTTGCTCAGCATGGCCTGGTAGAGCTAGCTCGTACCATGCTGCCATTGGCAGTGAATTAAGCAGGCAGCTGCATCCACCATGTGGTTAACAACTGAAAGCCATATCATATTGGACTATAGGAGTAGCGTATCGCGACAGGGGAAGACGGACTAGCTCCATATGTCTTGATGTCAGGGCAGCTTACTTGGTGATCTCAACGTCAGTGACTGATTCTGTGTTGATGGTGCGCAGCTACTTAATTAGGAGGTATGAAGCATAGCTTAGTTTGCATAACCAGTTGGTTACTGAATGTGCTGAACATCAATTGCCGTGTCTAACTGGCCAGTCGTTAAAGATAGTACCCTGATTCGCATTGACTTACAACTTGCTCTTTCTCTTGACAGTCCTTCAGGTCTTACTCCCTCCGTAAACAAATATAAGAGTGTTTAGGTCACTATTTTAGTAATCTAAACGCTCTTATATTAACTTACAGAGGGCATACTTCTTAACTTGCCATGTTATTGAACTTGAGAGTTTTCTTTTTAATGGTTGACTTGGAGATTGAGCATATGTAGAACAGCAAGCAGTTGCATGATGATGTGTTTAACTTTAATTTCAAACAGGTAGAATAGAATTTTACATGGAAATGCAGTAAGCATTGTCTGTACAGCAACATGCACTTCATCAAAATGTTGGCAAAATCTTTAGCCTCGCAAGGGCATCGTGTGATCAAGTTTATTACCACTATACAATGAGCTTCACATGGATGGCTACTAGCTTTACCATCCTTCCGAACGTACAAACTGAACTCTTTCTGTCTTACTTAAGACACACAGCCAACTGAACGTACAAGCAAAGCAGCAAACACCCAAATGCCCAAATACTCAGTCAACTAAAGCTACATCCCGATGGTTTCTGGACCTAGACATCATTATCTGCTTACCCAGTCGTCTGCAATTGGTTAAACCATCAGATAACTTCCTCGACAAAGAAAGATACTAATCTGAAAAGGATGCTCGGACCAGTTCATCGGAAATCTTGTCTCTAATCCGGCTCAAGAGATTTTGGTTTTTACATGTCTGTGATTTGGGAAGGAGGTTTGTTTGCGATTTACGAAGGAGATTATTTAGGAAGAAGATGTTTTCTAGAGAAGAACATTGAGGAAAGAGATGTGCATTTTATTTAGGAAAGGAGATACATATGCAGGGATGATGTATCAACCATGACGACGACGCACAAACTTCCCTTTAATAGTACAAAAGATGTGCAGATGTTTTTCATATTCTCAAACTGTAGGGACCAAAAATATCCCCGTTTACAATGTTGCCCTAAGTTAAATAGGACTAATAGACTAACTTACACATCACATCGGGTACGTTGACCTTTGTTGTGCACAACCGAATCTAGACATTTCACACTCTGACACATCACATTTGAACACAAGTTGTTGTATGGCAGGCTACTTCCTGAGAGAAAAAGCGACGTGATACTTGAATATCCACCAAGCATACTAAACAAAGCACTTTATCATGCATGTCACGCCTAGGCAACAAAATCATGCGTTCATTGTTACTTGTCTAAGCTCTAGTGCAATAGTCGATAGACGAATGCATTACATTTGGAAGCACAAACAAGAGTCTGTGTGTGAGAAAGACCATACATGCTGATGGGGTGGCACATTAGACTGTGAAATTTAGTTTTGATAATAGGTCAGAGGGTATTGTGTGTGAATTGTGATAGTTTACTGCCCTGCATGGCGAATGCTATTAGGAATTGTAATGTCATTTTAATTACTTAATAGTATATGAGAGGTGTTTTAATAAAAAAATATGCTCATGAATTTCCCTCCAACTTACTTGCAGATGTGCAACAGACACTCCAAATTAATGTGGTATTCACACTCTGATGAAATTTGGGCGACCATTAATGGCTAAGGGGTAGACCAAACCGGTGAAAATCGTTTCAACCCATTTGGAAGAAAAACAACAGCGTTGCATTGCAGGGAGTGTGAGTGATTGACTCGAAGTGCACCTGGTACGCAGCCAATCAAGGACACAAATAAGGTAGCTGGACGCACACATACGAGCTTAGCAAAGCAAGAAGAGCTCTATAGCACACGCACAACTATAGCTTGATGAACTGACATTACAATGATTGTGATCGAAGATTACACAATAGCGACGTGTACATCCATGCGCTGATT